TTTTCTGGATCAACCTCGGCTTTGCAAAATGTTTTGTTGTTGGTAGAAGTATTTGTCATTCACTTAAAATCACAACCTTCACTCAGAAGCAAAAACTTTAGACTTCAAATATACATAATGTCACGTTTACCGTGATAATGATTTTTATCTCGATATATATTTTGGGCCATTCGGCCAAACTGAGAACAAGCAAGTTTATTTGTACAGCACATTTCAACACAGCAATTCAAAGTACTGTCAACATCAAATATAAAAGGCATCATTGAAAATTGTAAAAGCAACATAAGACAAAACAAAAACATAAAAATAAGTTTAAAAAATTAAAGTGAAAGAGTGAAAAAATGTACATATTAGTACATATGTATGTGTATTGGCCGTCATGGCCGATATATCAGTGTTAGAAATGTTTAATATTCTTCTGGTCATCGGCCCCAAAAATCCAGATTGTAACCACATGACTGCAGGTTTGACATCAGGAGCTGCTGCGACACAGACTTTACACCACGTGGTCGAAACAACAGACACCGGCCGGTAGCTTCATAAAGGTTTCAAGTTCACAGTGTGTGTCTGAACTCATATTTTTGCGTAGACGGTGCGTTGGAATGTTTCAGTTTGTCTCTCCAGGTCAACTCATGTTCCCTGATGATCCAGATTATACCTGCGGAGTGTGCACACTCTCCTCCTCCTCCTCCTCTTCCCTGTCCGTCCCTCACTCCGTCTCTCTCGTCCTCCTCTCTTCATCTCTCTACTCTCCGATCACAGATTTGTGAGTGGCATGTGTCCGTCCATCTGGCTCGCACATGCATTGCATAATGGCCTCGGGCCTCGGTAGCGCAGCATCGCAGCGTTGCTCCAACACATGGAGAAGTGACAAGGGGCAGAGATACAAACTGCTTATGTAAAAGCATTAAGACGAACAAGCAACTCCAGTGACATTTGCTCACCCTGTGGAAAGAGAAGGAGAAAAAAAAATAGAAAGCATTCTCATGAAATAGTGAAAACATGCAGTGGCAAAGGAATTAACCGGACGAGTGAATCACTCTCTGACTTCTTTCATAATTAAAACTGGGACCTTTTTAAACAAGTACAAGCCCCGACCTGCTGTTTGATGCACAACCAAGATAACATACAGACGAAGGCTCAAGTGTTAAGATGAAGAAGAAGCACTTCAGAATATATTATATTATTTATAGTGTTTTATTGGATTGATTTTATGCTTTAAAAGAAAATAAAAACCAGCTCAGTGAATATTATGCAGAAGGCATCAAATAAAGAGGCCTGTGCCTCGGTGGAAATATCAATGCTGAGGGAAAAATGGAAAAAATTTAAGAGCTTCATGTTCTAGGTAAGAAAATGCAGCTGTAGCCGAGCCAGAAAAATGAGCCAAGAAGATTCATGTTTTCTTGATAAGTAAGACGTCAAACGTCGGCCAGGAAACGGCTGCGAGTATCCATCATGCATCTGTGCGAATCTAAACTGATGTCAGGTCAGAGGATGTGAGTGGTTGTGTTTGTGAATGAATTCCTGCAGTGAACAATTTAAAAAAAGACGAAGGTGTGCGGTGGAGATATTCGACATTCGAGGTGTTTATCAGGTCGGATGTCCTTGAGAGTTTCAGCAGGAGGCACATGACTGTGCTAATTTGATACTTGTGAACAAGTCCGGCTTTGTGTTTTATGCCGCTGTCACATACCAAACGAGACGGATTCATTTCAAACAGTGTAACCACCACTGCCCATGTACCTCCATGGGTCCTTTGTGTTGGATTGCGTCAGGTGGCGAGTTTCTGGCGATGGTGGAGGAGGTTGGGATGAGCCATGTCTTAAACGGCATAAGTCAACTCGCTGTGTCTCAAATGTCTGACTCTGTAAATGTCTCGTATCCATACGTTTTCAGAAGATGTTCACAAATACGCTCAAAATGAGCAATGTCCGTTTGAATGTCTAACCTTGAGCAGTAATATCCAAAATATAAAGTTTTTATCTTTAAGACTGTTGCTGAGCCTGTTGTTCGTGCTGCTCTGGACCTCGAATACGGCAGCTCCAGCCCCCTCGAACGTCATGGGCAAAAAAATGGCAACGTTTGCATCCGGGATATTTTGGCTTGGTATACGTGTGTGATGTGATATCACACACAGTCACACACACACACTCTTCCAGTTTGTGGTGGAGGAGTGGGCTTCTGTGTGATCAGTGTAAAGTGTTGGATCGTGAAAAAAACGCCTGTGAACGTCTCTTCGCCACTTTCAGCCCAGACGAGGCTCCTAATCTGAGCTCCTGTGACAAAGACACCTCACAGGGAGAACTTAAAAGCCCTCTGCTTTTCTGTCATCTCCATTTGTACCGTTGTTACCCAATGGTTTTAAAAATAGGCATGTTATTTTTGTGTGCCCCCCCCCCCCCTCCCGCTGTGCTCCTGGTATTTTTGGCCCCCCTTGGAGTGCAGAGGGATTTCTGCTGCTCAGTGAAATCTGCAGCAGCTCTCATGGCACGACCCCTCGGAGCCGTAATCCAGACATCCAAGCTGCTGGAGTATAAATCCCGTCCAGAGTTTGCATTGGCTGGCAGCTCATCGAGAGGCTGCGGAGATTATTTATTTATTTCCAACCACTTGGGACATGGCAGCCTGCTGTCAGCTGGTGACTCTGGGATGACACGATACAGACATTTAATCTGCGCGGAGGGGTCGCGTGCATGCCTGGGGTGGGTTTGCATGAGCGTAGTATTCGGAGGGGGGTGTTGCACTATGGAACTTCATTAGTGACAAAACTGAAAATCCAGCTTTGAGAGAGCAAGTGAGATCACATTTGACCTGAAGGCGACCAACTCTCTCCAGTGGGCTGCACCAGCTTTTTTACACCCTCGAAAAAAAACCCATGTGTTCGTTTACGAAACGTTCGGTCTGAATCTGCCACGAAAATGAAATGCGGAGTTGCAGTGTGTTGGGAGAATGCTGAACCTTTTGTGGCGTCACGTGTTTGGCTTGTCCACCTCTGCACCTGCTCTGTTACCTCCGTCGTGTTCACAACATTCAGGCAAAGGGTGGAGCCAGGGTAGAGCAGCAGCAGCAGCAGGCAGGACGGGATGTGTGGATGTTGCATGTTTTGATTTACAGCACATCCACACAGGCGTCCGTCCTTTTCGCCCAAAGCTCTGGAATCTCGTCGTCTTCACAGGTTGATGACTTTGTCTGCATATTCCACGTTTACGGCTCCTCTCTCTTTTCGTCCTGAGATATTTGTATTCTTTAGTAACTTGGACAGGCGACACACACAACTTTACAGGTGACTTTGGGGACATCGTCCTTATTTATTTATCTTACATCAAACAGATTTAGAATGAAGCGTGAACAAAATCAGCGCGTTGCTCTGAAAACGTGTCCCCGTTTTCACGACTTGGGCAGATTGGCCCTGGTGCAGAGGTGTGAGGATGTGAGGTTGAAGTCGATTGGGTCTGTCTGGGTGTAAATGGTGAGAAGACTAAGCTTGGATGGGGGATTATAGGAGAAGGGGGCGGGGAGCATACATGATCTGGCAGGGCTTAGTACCACAATTATCCCAGCGGCGGCAGCGGCAGTGGTGGTGGCAGACGCTGCATTTTCATTAGTGTAATGTCCAGAGAAGCTCCAGAATTATGTAAGAGTGACGTGCTGTCATCCCAACTCAGCCGGCCCACCGCCTGGCAGGAGCGTGGCTGTTTGTTTTCCTTTTATCCTCCCTCGCTCAGAAAAGCCAAAAGGACATCTCCGAGTCAGCGGTCGGGGACGGGAATAGTAGTGTCCTCACCACGGGGACCTCGGCGCTCCGGGCACTGAAGCCGTGGCTCACGTGGACAACCGAGATGAAGAGCGGTCGGCGGAGATGTTGAATCTGCTTCTGCACTTTGTTAGAAGATGAGTGACGGATGTGCAGCAGCGTTCAGAGCAGCGTGGTGCGTGTGATGCTCCCCGTGTCAGAGGAGAATTAGAAGATGAAGTTTAAGAAGTTCATCACGATCATGCAGGCAGCCATGGGGATCGTACCCTTGAACAAAAGGGAGCTTCTGCCGCCCGGCAGGAAACTGTGGAGACCTCCAGGGTGAGTTAGTTCACTGTGTTTCTGTCTGTCGTCATCTGCTCCGAGTACTGACGATGTTAGTGTCAAGCTCAGGGAGGCAACGTATGAATTTTTCAAAACTTAAAAATTATTAAAGCAACACTTGTTTCATTTTTAAATAGCAGCTTCAAAAGCATTTAGATGACTTGTTACAGAGAGAACGTTTCCTCCTTCATCTCCGCTCCTCCACCCGGACGTCTGTAATTGCTCTGTGCAAATGGAGAGCGGATAAAATCCTGCAAAAAGCACATCCATCCATCCATTAGCTATACCACTTATCCTTTGAGTGTTGTGGGGGACTGGAGCCAATCCCAGCTTCCCATGAGTGGTGCCTGACTGAGTGATAGTCAGTGGCTTTAACTCTCACAGTTAAACCCAGCAAGGTCAACAAACTATAGATCGGTTAAAAATAGTTACAAATATTCAACAGGAAACTTTTAAAATATGAAGAATTCTAAACAGAGTTTGGTGGATTTGTTACCGCAGCAGCTCTTTTGGTTCAGGAAGCCGGGGATCATGGGTAGCATCCAGCGTTTCAGTTCGGTTTCAGTTCTACTCAGTCAGAGCTCCGATCGAGTGATTGCTCAGGCTTGGAGCCCGACAGAGTGAATTGCGACTGCAGAGGGCGCTGTTGCTCAGGTTAAGTCATATTCTGTTTCTTTAAGTGACGTGTCTCATTTTAAAGGGTCCATATCAACTTTACAGTGGTTAGACTCTGGTTTTGTTTTTCCTGGCTCTCTCACACAGGGAGGACGAATTTGTTTTATGGTTCTAACACAATTGAAAAATTACATCAGGATTAATATTTTATACGATTGCAAAGAATGTATTCGTCTTACCAAAATACAACATGGTCACAGTCATTCTGCTGTTTGTACTGTTTAGTGTGTTTTGTATGCAGCACATATCAAACCTTTATTCTCTTGTACTGTACAATTTGTGTGTCACACTTTTCAGAGAGTTGCTGATTCACCTGTGTGGTCATCTTGTTTACCCGTTGAACTGTATAACATTTCACAGAAAGGTGTTTCTGTTTTTTAGCTGATATGAGTCAATCAGTGTTACACAATAGAAATGTTTCCCTGAACAAGTTGATGCATCAACACTTAATCTAAATCTTTCTTTCGCCTTGTGGAGTGAAGTTTGTCGACTTCAGTTGTTCCTGCTCATCAACACATTTCCTCCTTTAGTTTTTTTTGTAGCAGAGACAATCTGCTGTCTTCACTCTCACACACAGTATCACTGCAGATTGTGCACTGTTCTGCCATGAAGTCTTTTCAGTCAACTGCACGGTGCCACATGTTCGAACAAGTTGTTCGCTATCAGGACGGAACTGTTGCTCTTGAACTGACGCTGCAGATTATAGTATTATACTCTGTTGTATCTGTGTGAGACTTCTCCCTTTCAGGTGAATCTGACTTCTGCAAAACCTGCTTTGTCCCATCAGAGCCTGTATTTTCCTTCTATGAGGGCTTTATGTTTTCGTCTTGACTCATGCATGAAGGGAGATTGTTGCCGTCTGCAATGTGCATGGATCTCTGATCTCATGTCAAAGATTTACAGCATTAATTTAACATGTTTTGATTGTTGAGTTATTTTTCTAATTGTATATGTAAGTGTGTGTTTCTGTCTGTGTGCACAGGGACCAGCCTTCATCTGACCAGACCAGCACTGACCTGCTCAAGTGCAGCCGCAAGTTCTGTTGGTCCAGAGAAGCCCACTACTTGTATCTTCGCCGCCTGTCTTCCAGAAGCTACTCCGCTATTACGATGGTATGTTGTTTACATGACCGTGTTTCTGTTAAAGGTTAAACATGTCTACACTCAGACTTCTCCAGCTTCTAATATATTTCAAGTTTTGGGCCATAAAATTTAAACCAAATGAGAAGAAAATGAAAACCAATGATGACTTTTTAAATCCAAAAGGTCAAAGGGCAACTTCACTGTGACGTCATAGTTTTCAGCAAGAACCATAGATTAGATTTATGACCTGATTAAACATTTTCCTAAGGAGTTTCCTGTACCCACCTTGAAACTGTGGTGATTGTAAAGATCGTCTGTGCTGATGGGTTTAAAAGTCTTAACTGCTTAAATTATATCTAGACAACCTGTTGGTGAAGTCACGAAAACCATGATGTGACACATACACATACATTTTTCATGTTTTAACATCACTTGGATCATTGTGTGTTTCTCCTTTTGGATGAAATGTTTATGAACGTTAATCTTAAAATACTCCTTCTGAAATCCCATCATTGGATAAGATGAAAAATGCAGGCAATTCTTTTTTCCTTTTCTAGTATTTCCCAAAATAGTTGGTGAGCTGTAAACAAGGCTGCCTCTTCTGTGGCATGTTGTTATTATTTGATGATTAAGTGACTCAGTGCCGCCCAGAATTCTTTCCTGTTTCCTTATCTGAGAGCGTGTAGTCACAACTACGCTTTAGTGACGCTTCCTGCATCCAGGATGATGAATAACCAGAGAGATGTCACGTCCCAGAAGCTTCATTGTTTTAATGACTTGGTTGCACAAATTATTCAGGCCAGTGAAGCTGTTTTGCATGAGAATGGCCTATTTTAGGGCCTGTCTCGCATGTTTCAGCCAGTGTGGAATGTGACGATTTGACTCAGCTGACCTTATTTTTATTAATTATCTCATTGAAGCTTCACTGTTTTTCTGAAAATCTTTTTTTTTTTTTACCAGCAGATAAATATCTTTTATTTGTTGAAACAGTGGATATTGAAAATGAAACGGTTACATTTGGGATTTTGGAAATGTTCAGGTTCAGCTGGACCCTGGTTTTTATCTGTGATTTGTTTTGTTCTGATAAAATACCAGATAAGGACAGGCTTAAATGGATAGAATGGATTGTATTACACACACAAACACACACGCACACACAAACCAACAACAATAGGTTATTGTGGGACAGCTGCACACGGTCATCCAGTTTTTCCAGACCTTTTGCTTCAGCTGCTCGTGTATGAGAGCTTTACATTTTTCTCATAGTTCTACAGAGTACGGCTAAAAGCATACCTCTGTGTACTTTATGTCTGCGGCCGTGTTTCATGGTTTGTGCCCCTTAGTCTCAGTGAAAGGAAATCATAATCCCACGTTGTTTCAACATGACACTGCACTTCTGTATAACGCCACACGAATGGTTTTCTATGTTTTGGTGTGGAAGAATTCCACCGGCCTGCATTAGAGCCCTGACCTCTCCACCCCATCCAGCACCTTTGGGATGAGCTGGAATGCCAACTGTGAGCCAAGCTTATCACAGAACATCAGACTCCACTCATTCTCTCGGGAGTGAATTCCTGCAGCCCAAGCTCCACATTTAAGGCTGCAACAGTCACGTTTCCACCCACCTCTGGCTTGTGCAGCTTTAATTTATTCTCATTTTACTTGTTCTTTTTTTTTTATTACAGCTTTAAATGTTTTCATGTGACGCAGGTCTATATTTTTTCATTTAATTTGAACACCACCCTCCTTGTGCATCCTGCTGATTATTCCTCTTATATTTACTTTTCCTGCTTTGCGGTCAAAGCACTTTGTTTACTCTTGTTTTTTTAAAAGGTGCTATATAAATAGTTTGTATTACTAGCTTAGTTTCTGGCTTTTGAAGACACCAGCTGATGCAAAAAAGATGCTTATCACTCGTGCATATATTTAAAATAAATTCCCTCCATCTAGATAAGTGTGGATCGTTCCCTCTGAGGACGAGGACGTGCAGTGTGTTTTTGTGTTTGTGTGTCTGCAGCCTCACAGCAGGATCCCTAAAAAAAATCAATAGGACCTTTGGACCGATCCATCCCAGAAACACCAGAGGTCTAACCCCCTCCCTCCACACATACACACTCCCTGCTGCTGACCCTTCGTTATCACTGATTTTTAAATAATCTGCTCTTCTATTATCTTTACCAACTTTCTGTTACTATCCTAAATTTTATTTTTCTCGTGTTTCACCGGAGTCACGGCGGGCAGATTTCACCAGCGCCCCTCCGGCTGACTTGGTACAGCCCGGTCCGGAGCTAGCGGTGGTGGTCGCTAACGCTTAGCTCCCGAACTTCAGTGTTTTAACGTAGCGAGCTGCGTCATCCGTCGTGAATAAGAAGACGCGTTTACGCCCTTTTTTTTTTTACCCACTTTGGGTTTTGTTTTTTAAATTGAGTCGGAAGTTCAGCCCGCGTGCGACCGGAAGCAGCTAACTGCTCCGGGTTTTTTTATTTTTTGGGGGGGTTGACCCGCGTCGGGAAGTGTTGCGGGACAGTTGGAAGTGCGTGATGCCAGTGAACGGAGGGGGGCTGCTCTCCCTGAGCAGATACGCCACGCAGTATTTCACAGTAAGTACAAAGTACACGGCTGCACCGGACGGTACTGCGAAAACACGGGTACTGCTAGCTAACTGCGTACTAGTGTTGTGTGTGTGTGTGTGTGTGAGGGTTCCGGTTCTCCGTGAATCCCGGTGGACGCCTGTTGCATCCGGTTACACCTGCTGCTGTAGCCGCTCAGCTAACGTGAGCTTACCGTTATAATAATAGTAATTATATTAACGTTAATGAACAACGTTATAAAAGCGCAGTGACCCTGTTTACAGCGTGTTGTCTCCGTGTGTCCTCAGCTGAGGGACACACGTGGGATCTCTTCAGTCGTTAGCTTTATTTTCTCAGAACATTTAATTCTGATTGTTTCTGTGGTTTAATCTTCTTCACTGTGACGAACGGTTGTTAATGGTCAGTTCGTCGCATCCGTAGAGCTGCTCACGTGTTCTAATACTTTGATAAAGTTGTTTTTTTTATTTATTTATTATTATTTTTAAACTTATTTATGCTCCGGCGTGTTGATGTGCAGTTTCTGTCGTTCCTGTGCCTCATGTTGTAGCTCAGCTCTCCAACCAGCAGGGGGCAGACTTGCACAGCGTTTCTGTTCCTCTGAAGCAGTTTGTAAACAAGTTGTTTTAAAAGTACTTTATGAGTAAAGTGTGTTATTATTTGTAGTAGTAGTAGTACTCGTTGTTTGGTAGTTTTGAGACTGATATATATTTAAATTACATGCAGAGGACTGAGAGTTAACATAAATCATTGAATCTTTTGTTTCATCTCCTCTAGAAACCAAAGATCGTTTCTTTTCTCCCTGTTTCATTTGAAATGGTTAAATGACTTTAAACATTTCAAGACATTGGCTTCTTTAGTCTTGACCTTTAGAGATTCATTGATCAATTAATTGACAATTAAACTAACTGAGCGCTATTAACATTTTTGATTTTATTTTAAAATTGTATTTTAGTCTCCCTTTTTATTTTTCATTTTATTTCCTGTGAAATGTACAAAAGCATGTCAGCTTTTAAAGCCTATTTCCAGCTTTCTTTTGATTGGTGCTGTTGTATCTGAACATATCAAACAGTCCTACATGTGATTCTCTTATTCTTCTGGTAGATATGTGAAGGGATGTAGGTGGAGGTATTGTACCCTAAATTATTAATTTGCCAAAAAATGTGGCTTAAAAGAAGTAAAGTGGCTCCACACCCAAATGTAAATTATTCTTCCGAGGTCTCATCCTTCTATCGAGTTTGATTGAATTTGGGCTGTAGTTTTTGTGTAACACTAACAAACAGATAGATGGACAAACTGGTGGAATAACCTCCACCACATAACCTCCTTTGCCGAGGTAATTAGTTTCATTATCGATTAGTTGATGGGCCGGAAAGTCATTAATAGTTTGGATCGGTCAGTCGAGTCATTCTCCAACACAAATGTAAAATGATCTGTTTTCAGGATCTTGTATGGAATGATTTTTCTTATTTGGAAATATTAAACTAAAATAGTTCTGGTGTTTGTCTGAAAAATCAAGACATTGGAAAACATTTTTGATGATGAGTCAGAGAAGTTGTTTGTGAACTACAGGATAAAAAAGTACTTAATTGCAGGTCTGTTTGGGAATTATGTAACTGTAGAATACAAAACCAAATAGTGACAAGGATTTTATCTGATGTTTTTTATTTGGATGTGTGCAGTTTTCCCAGTTCTGATTAAAATCTACCCACATCTACATTCCTGATCTTTTAAAAAGACTCTGCCCTGTCTCCACATAATTTGTTTTCTAAGTCACGTCCTGCGAGGGTGACCTAGTATTTCACCCTGGCTCCTCATTAGAGGAAATGTGCTTGTGTATAGTTATGTAATGACCCACACTCAGGAGAATACGACTTATCCAGCAGGCCGGCCTGCGAGCGGCCATCACAATCATATCACGGCAAACAAGAAGGCAGTCTGAACGATTAATGGAATGAACTGGATTGGCCTTGCCCAAAGCTCTTTCGTTGGTAGCTTCCAAGTCATTTATCGTACTTCCATGAGCTAAGTGTTTCCTCTATTTAGACTTAGTCATCTCTTCCGCTGCAGTTTTAAGGCTTGAGAGATGCAAAGGAATGTGAAAATTGCTTGTTTATATGTGGCAGGCAAATGAATTTCCAAGTGGACATTTCAAATAGCTCTGTGTGTGTCAGTGTCTCAGTGCTCTATAGGTTATATTTGTCCTGTTTTCATTCACACAGTCCTCTGGGACATCTGCAGTGTCTCTGCAGCTGCCAATGGTCATCTGCTGTTTCCTTTTTGCCAGAACATCAGAAAAAGTGGGTTATGATGGGTGTGCTCCCCCCGTCTCACTAAACCTGACACAGAGATTTCTGTTTCTGCTTTAGTTTACAAAACTCCCCCCCCCAACAAATTTAAAGTCCCGTATAAGTTCAATACTACGTTTGGTGTTGCTTTATCTTCGCGGACGTGTGAATCGTCTCCTCGACTTTGACGAGAGTCTGGCGTATCTTAGCATCAGAGCAGCAAGCTAACCTAAAACTGTGCTGTGTGATTTTGTGGTTTGCGGATGAACACGGGAGTTTAATCACCGCGTGTCCGTGCAGAAGTTGGTGTGTCTGTATGTTTACACTGCAGACAGTGGGATTTGTGCTGAATGTAGGCCAGCAGAATCCTACTTACGTCAAACACAGGCGGGCGGGTGGGCAGATGCAGGGAGAGAGCTGCTGGTGGTTGTGCAGCTGTGGCCATGGAGGAGGCTGTGGCGCACATCAGTCTGCCAGAGCACCGCTGGCAGTGAGCGGGGAGAGAAGCGAATAGGAAGCAAAGGAGAGTGCCAACAATGAAGACTGTCCTCAGCCTGCACAGGAAATGGGCCCACGCCGTCAAGACTATTCGCATCCTGCAGGGACTCGTGAGTGCAATTCTGCTTCCATGGCTCAGATCTACCACCACGGCTATGAGCAGATCTGTGGTAGGGGCAAGTGGCTCGTCCCGGCAACTTGACTTGACTGGTTCTGTCGTGATCTGAGTTTGTTTGTTTCTGGAAAGTTTCTGACTTTTGGGCTCAGATTTGATTATGATATTAATAAAGGGTGAAGAGAGACTTTTCACTTGGTTTGTATCTTGATTCATTGAAGAAATGAAAGGTATTCATTTTCCTCGCTTCGTTAATTCAAATATTTGTTTTCTGTTTTATATGATTGGAAGTGGGGGGGGGGGTGTTTGAGGGATTGCGACTGTCAGACGGCAACATTTCAACGCATTGGCTTAAGTAATTGATCGTTCATGCAATTACTTAATTTAGCCGTCTTCTTAAACCTGGCTGAGCTGTCAGTTTTTTTGTTGACCAGAATTCTCGAAGATGTGGATGACATGATCGCTTTCTGAAACCTGTTGTGGGTTTCGTTGAACATTGTCACAAGAAGCTTCAGGATTCGTCCTGAATTATCTTTAAGTGCTCCGAAGAGAAAGTGCGAGTGCATGTTAGAATGTGCTCATCAGTAATTAATCAACGGGAGTCAGAAGTTTCTGAGTCAAACTTGTTGTGAACACCCAGCAGAGGCTTGTCATTGTTCTTCTGGGAGCGGCATGTGTAATGACGGCGTCTAGTAATGAGCAGGCTTTGTCGTTACATCACGTAATAAATTATTAATCTGTTGAGTGAAATGAAACCTGCCACAGTAATCTTTTCTTTTTCTCTTCACAGAACCCGGTCATGGAGGAGACTGTGTGGGAGCAGTACACTGTGACCCTGCAGAGGGTGAGTCCATCTGCACCACACCAGAGATGTAACATTTACAAGCACTGAACTCCAGATATTCTCCTGCATTTTTCCAGAGGGGGCTGTGTGTGAGTCTTCAAAAAGTGAATGTCAGAATGTCAGAGTGAGCCTGTGTGCTCATGTTGATGACATCTCTAACATCCGACAGATGCAAAGCAAAAAGAATCCAAACATCTCAGGATGAAAAAAGAGGAGTCATGCACGTAAAAGGCATTTTAAAGGCTTTTGACTATAAGAGCCGACACCAGTGTGGATCTGCTGTAAACAAAAACATTTGATCTCCACAGTTAAATATATATACGTCATGTTCTGCCTCTGTGGTTTTCTTATTTCGTCGACCTTCCTAATATAGAGAAGCCACACAGCGTGCATGACGTGCGACTGAGAGCGAGTTTTAGTGTCTCGTCTACTTTCCAGGAGGGACACGATGATCTCAGCAGTCTCAGCTGAGAAGATCTGTCCATGTGTCATATTGATGTTATATCAGGACTCTTATCAAACTAAAATCACGTGAGCACTTTCTGATTCCAGTTCTTCCCCTTTCAGTCCACTCATCAATGATGGATGATGACGCCAAACTGTTTCTGGAGATATAAAAATCACAAAAAGAACTCCATTATTTATGGCCATTATCCAAAGCAAACTCTGTCGGACTGGCAGTAGCAGGAGCAGCGTCTGTGGTGTGGGCACACGCGTGCGAGCCACAGTAGTGCTAATCGAGCTAGCTGTCACACATAGCTGAGTTAGGCAGTGGTGCCCATGTGTTAGTCTTGTCCCCTGTATGGTGAAACATGCCAAACACTTTGAAGTTCAGCTGTGGGCAGCTGGACCACATGATTTATTCAGAGCCAGAGGTACAACTGTGGACACTGATATCATCACTGTCATGTTTGTTGCACTAACACACAAATCCATGGCTCGTACTGATGCTTAAAGGTGAAATATAGAATGTGAAGCAAAAAAAAAAATCAGATTTTCAGTTTGGAAATGTTCAGATGACTTCGAGAAGCTGCCGCTTCCAATCAGCTTTGTTCTGTGTTAGCTTCACAAGTGGTTTTCATAAGAGGATGAGGCCTCTGGACTTCTGGCTAATCAAGAGAAAGTTGGTTTTCAGGTTTAACGGCAGAACAGGCAGTCTGAGATAAGAACCTTTTAAAAAACTATACGTCATATAAATATACTGTAGTGGAGTCAGAGAATAAAAACAGAGCTGTTAATTAGCAGAATACATAGGCCCGCTTAAATGTTAAACACATGAACTGCTATGTAAGCGGAGAAAACCAGTTGAGCTTAGGTTATGATCGTGATAAGCTCATTGTTTCGTGCTGCAGTTCACTGAAGCCAGAAAAGCAGATTTGGAGCAAAAAGGTCCTTTGCTGTGGGCATGTGACCCCCTGACTCTCCACCCCACTACAGCCAGCTGTCACACTCTGCTTTGTGCATCCACTTTTTATTCTCTTCCACCGTTTGTAAACTGAGTGGATTTAGATTTAATTTGAACATATTCTGTCCCCAGCCTCTGTTACTTGCTCTGTCGTGCAGAGGGAGAAAGAAGCTCTGCAAGAGTCCATCGTAACATGACAGTCATGTGCTCCATGACCGAAACACAATGTGTTTTTAGGTGTAAATTATATTAAACAAAAAAACAAAATCTGGGAAAACACAAAGAGTTATTTGATATTATAAAAACAAGGCTCAGGATTGGTTGAGCTTGTGCTTTAAATGATATCTTGTCAGTGGCAGGCGTCTTTGGTTTGACACTGTATGATGTCACATTTAAACCCCCTTTAATACCAGAATGGTGGTTTTAGTGGTTTCTTTCTCATCAAGAGAACGTTGTCAGGCCTCTGGCTCGTAAAGCCTTTTCAAAAATAACAACGTGCTTTCTCGTCGAGCTAAAAAAAGAATCCCAAACTGACAGTTGAATTCAGACAGTGTCCCCTTTTCAGTTTTTTTTTTAATATTACAGGAAGAAAATAATTTTTTAATTATCAAAGCGAAAGGGTTTTTTTTTTGTCGTCTTCCCGTCCTGTTTATTCATTTTTGCCTGCATTTGTCTCTGCTCGCATTTTCTCCCTCCATCTGCCTCCACAGCCATCTGCTACAGACAGAGGAAAGTGGTTTATATTGTATGTTGGGTTTTTTAAGTACAGATGGAAGGGAGAGGATAAAGAGAGGGTTCATCAAATCTCCGTCCTAATCTCATCTGGGCAAACTGGAGCAGTGGCAGGTAGAATCGTTCAACACATTTCCAAAGAAGGAACGAGCGTTTATTGAAACGGTTATTTAAATTCAAATTACACAAGTGTATGTTAACATATGCACCAACGCACATTCTCATACACATTATGAAGCCAAGGATTAGCATCTTTGTTAATCGCACACACACACACAGTACGCAAAGCTTTAGGCAGTGGACAGTTGGACACACAGACTCTGAACGTTTTGTTGCAGTCATACATGACTCCACTGAACACAACTGTAATTACAATCAGTGTGAGCTGACACAAAGTACAGGGATTACACACACACACACACACACACACACACACACACACACACACACACACACACACCATATCCTCCACATGTTTTCCATGTTTCCCGTCTTTGTTCTCAGGATCCAAAGATGGGCTTTGGCATCGCAGTGTCAGGGGGGCGTGACAACCCGAATGAGGAAAGTGGCGAGACGTCTATCGTGGTGTCTGATGTCCTGCAGGGAGGACCTGCTGATGGCATGTTGTTGTACGTACTGTTTAAAAATGAAACTATGATAGAGGGTTTTATTCATTTTGGCCTCACAAAAAGTTTAATCAATCAAACATTTTGTTTAGTTTATTTATAAAACCACAGACTATTCTTTGTGAATAAATAAAAAGCTGTCAAGCTTATTTTAACGCTTAATTTAAAAGGCCCCTGGCAACTTTTTGTACAGAAGTAAATCCATTAGTGTTTCACTTGATATAAAAATAGAAAATAAGTTTATAATAAATGTCTTCTTTTAGAACATTTACTATCCTATAACTTTCTGAGTTCAGCTTGTCAAGGTATTATCTCAATGTGTGTTTGTGTTCAGTGAGAATGACCGAGTGGTGCAGGTAAACGCCATCCCCATGGACGGTGCCATCCACTCCTTCGCTGTTCAGACGCTCAGGAAATGTGGCAAAGTCGCAAAAATTGTACGTAAACTTTTGGGTTTGTTGTTTGAAACTCATTAATTTGTTTTTTCTGCAAATATTTTTAAAATTGTAATATTACATCACAATATATGAATGAGGATGTATGGATTTGTTTGTTTGTTGACCTCTGGCCTTTTTGTCTCTTTTGTTTATTTACAGACCGTGAAGAGGCCCAGGAAGGTTCCAGTCAACCTGTTGAACCGTCCGTCCTCACCCGATGACAGAGTCTTCAACAATGACTACAATGACGATTACAACTACGATCAGGACCGCCGCAGCGTGTACAGCGGACGAGACCACAGTCCGGAGAGAGGCTACATGGATTCTGGCTACCAAACTCACGAGCGTGACCATGACAGGGACTATGACCGGCGGGAACGCGGCAGGAACATGGAGAGAGACCAGAGCCCGGACCGGCAGTACAGGAGAGATGGCAGCAGAGGCCGCACTTTAGATAAAGAGCGCAGTCCGGAACGCCCCTACAGGAAAGACCACACGCTCGACCGTGACTACAGCCCGGATAGAAGATACCGCAGCGAGCGTACATTAGACCGAGAGCACAGCCCGGATCGCCGTTACCGCAGCGAACGAGCCCTCGATCGGGAGTACAGCCCAGACCAACGCTTTCGCAGTGAGAAAACCCTGGACCGCAACAACAGCCCCGACCAGCGCTACAGGCGTGACAGCCCAGGCAGGGGCCACGGGCGCGACCACAGCTTTGAACGAGGAAGGGAACGCGTCCCCAGTGACCCGAGGAAGTACGACGATCCGGTGAGACGGAGCGGGAGCAGGGATCGCCTGGACCGCTCGCCATCACCGGCCGCCTTGCCCATCCCTCTGCCTCGCCCGGCCCGGGATCTGGAGCCGCTGGAGAAACCGCTGAACGTGCTGCTGCTGAAGAAACGACCCAACGAAGGTGAGAAACAAACAAACATCATTGCTAATATTAAACTGGTGTAAAATATTATTTAAGAATGATGATTCACAGTCTGAACATGTTTACTTGACATCGGAGCTAGAGCCAAGAAAAACTGCTGAGTCATTTGACCTGATTGACGATTGTATCCGTTTCCATTGCAGCCAAAAGCTCGATGTCAGCGGGCTTTTGGAAAAGGGATTCAGAATAGTCAGGTTTAATATATGTAGCTTGTATAGCCTTATGTGTGTCTTCACCATCTTTTCCAGAGTACGGCCTTCGTCTGGGCAGCCAGCTCTTCATCAAGGAGATGACCAGCACTGGACTCGCCAGCAGAGACGGGAATCTGCAGGAGGGAGACATTATACTGAAGGTAGATAATAAATATCCCCTTGCTACTGTTGCACTTTGGTTTTTCTGCCTCCGTGGCAGCGAGAGACATGATGTTTCGAGTTGTCCGTCCATCTGTCCCATGTTCACGCACGATATCTCAGGAATGCCTTCAGGGGACAAACTTGGCACAAACATGGACTCACGGATGAACGGTTTCGATTTTGATCATTCAAGGTCAACCTCTGAGTTTTGTTGCAGAGTAGTCAAGAATCCATGTAGTAATTAAAATACTTTGTTTTACATACATACACAATGTTTTACAGTTTTCCTTCAAAGTCAGAGTCTTATTCTAATTTTGGAAGCGACATAACTAATTTCCACAATATCTTCTTCTCACCCTCCGTCTCCGTAACAAAACCTTTCTGTCTCTTTGCCACAAGTGTCTGACTGTCTCTTTGTCTCCCGTGTCTCTGTTAGATTAACGGCACAGTGACGGAGAACCTGTCCCTCAGCGACGCGGGAAAGCTGATTGAGAAGTCTCGCGGGAAACTGCAGCTGGTGGTGCAGAGAGACAAACAGCAGGTGCTGATCCGCGTCCCCCCGATGGTCGACAGTGACTCTGAGCTCGATGGTGAGAGACAATCGAAACTGAAAAGCAGCAGGTCCTATCCCGAGTAAACCCGCTGAGTGGCCATCATCCACATACATGTATCTACTGCATATCTTCTTCATACGAATCAACTGTGGAAATGTTTTGTTGGTGTTGTTGTTGCTGTACTTGTCATCAAAACTGTTTTTCCCTTCATACAATAAAGGTTTTAATCACACATCAGTTTTTAGTTTTATTTAAATTATTTTTTTTCTTTTGGGTAATAATATTTCACAAAGCAGGGGACAAGCACAGACCATATCAGAGATTCACCAAACCATTTCTCCTTTTCCTCCACCGTCATGATCACTCACTCTTTTATACCTGTTTTTAATGTCACATGACTTCATGTGGTGCTGCGATTGGTTGGAACCAATCTACATCAGTGGTGCGGGTGGATTGTTGACCAAATGTTTTCAAGGGAGGGGGTCACCGCTGGAAGACTTGTGACCCACTTTGTCTCATTTGGACTGTGTTTGTGTCTGCATGTGTGTGTGTGTGGTTGTGTGTGTATGTGTGAAAGTGCCCACTCGCCTTTGGCTGGGTGATCTAATCCCTCATCATAATGCTGCTATTGGATATGAAAGAATTTCATTACGTTAAGGTTTTGCACCAAAGCAGCAGCCGCCTGGTTTCAGGATCCCTCCTGTGTGTGAATGAGGATTTTCAGCTCTGACCTCTTAATTCTTCTCTGAAATGGTATTTAATTGCTCCGTGGTGTTTTGCTAAGATACAGAAATCTAACTTGGCTTTTTTTTTTGCCTAAATATCAAAGTTAAAAATGTGGGAATGTGAGTAGTGACCACATTCAATCACAAAAGCCACATCATGCTATTCTTAAAAAGAAAAAGCAGAAACACAGGTGAAGGCTAGATATTTTATTCTACCTGAACCTGAAGATCCAACGCGACCAAAAAAAACCGACTGACACTTGAGTGATTTGCTGGTTTAGAACGGTTACAATCCTTTTGTTGTTGTTTTGTAGATATCTCAGAGATCGAGTCCTACCGCTCCTACTCGCCACAGGACGACAGGCGGGGCCACCACTCCGACCTCTCCTCCCACTCCTCCAATGAGAGGCTGAGAGAGAAGCCCAGGTAAGCGTCCCTTAAAGGAGACATGCTCATATTCAGTCTCCTTGTTTTTGAGGTAATTTCATAAAATTAAAGCTCACAATGTTGTATTTGTTTTTAAAATGATGAAAACCAGCTTTAGTGAGATATCGCCGCATTTCATTAAATGCACGTTGTTTAATACGGCAGAAAAAAATCAGGATAATGCAGGATTATGTTGATTTATGCTTCACGAAGCTTAGTCAATCCATTATATCAAATTAAATCATAAAGAGTCACGGTGGTGATAACGATCATGATGGGTTTTTTTTTTTCTAACCTTTAAATATAAGGAGGAGTTTCGACAGCATCAACTGTCCCCGGCTGCTCCGACACTGATGTGTCATCAGTCAACATATTCTCCTTCATGTGTGTTTGTTTTACCAGCAGAGAGGACCCGCCCAACAGGCTGGCGAAGATGGGCGCCATGCCAACACCCTTCAGAGCGCCAGACAGAGCTGTAGAAGACACACCCCCTTTGCTGGCAGAGAGGGAGGAGCCACCACCGGAGACACCTCCAGCCAAACCAGGTACATTTCCTCCTCCTGAATATCTGAAGATGTAATAATGCATGATAATGATTTAAACTGTAAAACCTGTGACACGTTGGATTCTGTCGCACCAGTCGTCACTGCAGCTCCAAAGGTTCATGCTCCGCCTAAAGTGCCACTAAAGCCGAGCATAGAGGACCAGGAAGTGTACGGGTCAGTACATCACAAGTTATTCACTCGAGATTTCTTTTTTTTTTTTTTTTGTTCCACTCTTTGTGACTTTGTCTGATTAAATCTTGTGTCCATCGTTTAGACCGAACACAGTGATGGTGCGTTTCCAGAAAGGCGACAGCGTGGGTCTGAGGCTGGCGGGAGGAAACGACGTCGGCATCTTCATCGCCGGCGTTCAGGAGGACAGCGCGGCCGAGCAGGAGGGTCTCCGCACGGGAGATCAGATCATGAAGGTGAGGCGTCTTTTATCCAACATCCAGGAGCTTTAGATGCAGAACGCGTTAATCAGTGTTTACTGTAGTACCCACAGTTTTCATGGGGAAGATACACGACGCTCAGTGTAACAGCGTGTGGAGCTCATTCAGATTCTGCTGCATAAAGAAAGATTGAATATTAAGAGGAACATTTTTAATAATTTAAAAATTAAGGGGAAGTATTATAGTAAGGGCAAAATCCAGGTTTTAAATGTAACCTGAAGGTAGATTAAGTGTATTATTCAAATCGTCTTATTGAATGTGGTTAAATAATGGTCTTTTCTGCTCTACCACTGTTTCTGAAGCTGTTGCTTGTGTGTTCTGTCTGCTTCAGGTGAACAACACTGACTTCAGAGGAATGGTGCGTGAGGATGCCGTTCTCTACCTCCTGGAGATTCCTAAGGGAGAGGACGTGACCATTCTGGCTCAGAGTAAACCTGATGGTACAGAACTTTATCCACAATACTTATAAAACATGAATATTATTATTTTTATTTCGCTTTAGTTTTGTTCTGGTCTTTATTAAATGGATCACGGTTATTATGACATTTATTTCCCATCGGCTGTCTTCTACAGTGTACAAGGACATTTTAGCGTCTGGCCGAGGCGACTCCTTCTTCATCAGGACTCACTTTGAGTTCGAGAAGGAGGCGCCGCAGTGTCTCCCTTTCTCCAGAGGAGAGATCTTCAAAGTGACCGACACACTTTATGATGGCAAACTGGGCAACTGGCTGGCGATCCGCAGCGACAAAGACAACCAGCTGTTAGAGAAAGGCATCATCCCCAACAAGAGCAGGTGTGTGTATAAAAACTCACTGATAATGATGTGTAATGATGCGGGCCTCATTTTAGTGTAGCAACGGTATTTAAAACATAACCACGCCCTCTTTTGTCCTACAGGGCAGAGCAAATGTCCAATGTCCAGAACGCTGCTCGGGTGGCATCGGGCAACGACAGGGGAGACTTCTGGAGGCTGAGAGGTCAAAGAGCAGCGAAGAAGAAAGATCTCCGCAAGAGCCGAGAGGACCTGAACGCCACTCCGGTCACCACCCGATTCCCCGCCTACGAGAGAGTGGTCTTACGTGAAGGTATTGAAAAAAGTAGAGCGTTGTTAAGACTAGAGTTTTTTAAAAACATCGTTCCTGAATGTCCGTGACTGAATCTGAGTTCTTCTTGTTCTTGTTCAGCTGGATTCAAGAGGCCTGTGGTGATTTTTGGGCCCATTTCCGACACAGTAAACGAAAAACTGGCCAATGACATGCCGAGCAAGTTTGTCATCGCCAGTAAGTGCTTATCATCAGCATCACTTCATCTCAACTGTTTTCCTTAGGCTCTCAGATTTCTAAATAATTCATTTCCTTTCTCAGAAACGGAGCCTAAGGATGCAGGAAGTGAGAAATCCTCCGGAGTGGTGAGACTCAACACCATCCGACAAATAATTGAGCAGGTGTGTAACAGGACAATAAGACGCAGTTTCATTTCATTTACACCATACGAACATTTGACCACGTCCTCCCGTGTCCTCAGGAGCGCCACGCTCTCCTGGACGTGACTCCCAAAGCCGTGGACACTTTGAACTACACGCAGTGGTATCCCATCGTCATCTTCCTGAACCCTGACAGCAAACAAGGCATCAAGACCTTGAGGAACCGCATCGCACCGGGATCCAGCCGCAGCGCACGCAAACTGTACGAGCAGTCCGTCAAGCTGAGGAAGACCTGCACTCACCTCTTCACTGGTAGGGTTCACTCGGAAAATTCTAATTATATTGATGCAGCATCTTTAAAAAAAGCATCTTTAAAAAAAGTTGTGTTGTTATCGTCTCTGCAGCTTCGCTAACTCTTGTTTTTGTGCACATCTAGCAACCATTGACCTGAACTCGGCCAACGACGGCTGGTACGGCAGCGTGAAAGATTCTATTCAGGAACAGCAGGACCGAGCTGTGTGGGTGTGTGAGGGCAAGGTGAGTTTTATCACCTGTACGACGACAGAAAAAAGAGAAATATCGTTTTTACAGTTCACTCTTCTCGATATCAAATATTCCACCCAACACATTTTCTCAGAAGTATACTGGGCTCTAAGAATAGAGGATGATACTATGGTGATGAGTGTTGGATTGTTACAGTCGTCTCTCCCCTCAGCTCGACGGTTCAGAGCAGGACCTGGATCTCCATGACGACCGCATGTCCTACCTGTCAGCAATGAGCGCCGACTACCTGAGCATGGACAGCCGCCTGACCAGTGACTACGAGGACACCGCGGATGAGGGCGGGACTTACACTGACAACGAGCTGGACGAGCCCCTGGACGAGCCTCAGCCCGTGTCGGCCATCAGTCGATCGTCGGAGCCCGTGCTGCCGGACGAGGTGAGACACGTCGCTGCCGCGTGAAATACTGGAAACTGTCTACATCATGAACTGTAAATACAGATGGACGGCACGACGGTTCCAGAAAAGAAGCCAGGCGCCATATTAGCAGTTGGACCAAACAAAGACCTCAAATATATAAAGACAAAAATAGAGTGAAACCGACTTGTGATTGGTCGAGTGTATCAGCGGAACCTCGTTACTGCACAGACTTGCTCCAAATGATGTTTCTGGCACAAGATGACATCATCTCGGGGATATTTTGGTTATTTCTGTGTAGTGGGACAAAAGTGGAAATTCATCTTAACATTTCGTCACCCATCTAATTCTCATCTGTCGCTCATTTGCAGTTTCAAAGTCTGTGTGTGTGTGTGTG